TTTCTACTATGAGATTTTGATTGACACTCTGTATACTTGTCTTATAAATTATTGAGGGGGTACTTACATCTCCAACTGTAATTTTATAAATGTTTATTTTTCCTTAATATTTCATCAGTTTTTGGTTTGTATATTTGTAAGTTCTCCTATTATAAGATACATACATGTTTAGGATTGTTATATACTCTTGAAGAACTGAAACTTTTATCATTATGGAATGGCCATCTTTATCCCTGGTAATATTCTTTGCTCTAAAATATATTTTGTCTGATTTTAATACAGCCACATCAACTTTCTTTTCTTTATCTTCTTCCTTTTACTCTATTTATGTCTTTATAATTGAAGTGAATTTCTTATAGACAGTATATATTTGGGTATTGCTAGTCTCTGCCTTTTAGTTGGGTTATTTAGGCCATTTCTAGTCAATATAATTACTGATATGCTTAGGTTTTAAATCTATAATCTTGCTGTTTATTTTCTGCTTGCCCCACTTGATCACTGTTCCTTTTTTCCTCTTTCTACTTTCTTTTAAATTAACTTTTTTATGATCTATTTTATCTCCTTTGTTGGCTTATTAGTAGTTATGCTTTTATTTTAGTGGTTGCTTTAGTAGTTACAGCATACAGCTTTAACTTATGCATAAAAACCTTAAAATAGTATGCAGTTGTCCATCCATATCCACAGGGGACTGGTTACAGGAACCCCTGTGGATATCACAATCTGCAGATGCTCAAATCCCTTATATAAAATGGTTTATTTGCATATAACCTATATACAGCTTCCTATATATCAGATTATATATATAATCTCTAAATTACTTATAATATCGAATTCAATGTAAATATTATGTACATAGTTGTTATACTGAATTGTTTCTCTATTTCTATTATTTTTATTATTGTAGTATTATTTTTCTTTATTTTTGGAATATTTTCCATCTGTCCTTGATTAAATCCACAGATGTGGAATTCATAAATTCCATAAATATGAAGAGCTGACTATATTTCCAATTCTCTCATCCTAACCTTTATGCTACTGTTGTCATACATTTTCATTTCATCCATATTATAGGCCACTTTCTATATCATTATTTTTAAACAGTTGTATTAGTTTGCTAGGGCTGTGTAACAAAATACCATGAACTGGATGGCTTAAACAATCAAAACTTATTTTCTCATAGTTCTGGAGGCTAGAAGTCTGAGATCAAGATTTTGGGAGGGTTGCTTCCTTCTGAGGGCTGTGAGGGATAACCTGTTCAGTGTCTCTTGCCTAGCTTCCAGTGCTTTGCTGGCAATCTTTGGTGTTCCTTGGCTTGTAGATACATCACCCTGATCTCTGCCTTCATCTTCACATCACATTTTCACCATGTGCTTATTCCTGAGTCCAAATTTCTTCTTTTTATAAGGATACCTCAGTCATATTGGACTAGGGCCCAACCTAATGACTTCAATTTAATTTGATTACCTCTGTATAACTCCTATCTTCAAATAAAGTCACATATTGAGGGTGAGGGCTCCAACATATCTTTTTGAAGGTGATAATTCATCTCATAACAATGGTCAATTTTCTTTTAAAGGTTTAAATAACAAGAGAAAATCTTATTTTTACCTGTGTAGTTATTGCTTTCAGTACTCTTAATTCCTTTGTGTAGATCTACATTTTCATTAGACTAAAGCACTTCCTCCTAACATTTCTTATAATTCAAGTTTGCTAATATAAATTTCTTTCAGTTTTTGTATATCTGAAAAAACATTCCACTTTCAGTTTTGAAAAGTATTTTTGCTTGGTATGGAATTCTAGGTGACACATTTTTTTCCTTTCAGTACCGTAACATGTCTTTTGAAAGTTTCTGATTGCTTATAAGACTTTATCACAGTTTTGGAAGTTTGTTTAAGATCTTTGGTATAATGTTCTTCATGTTTCTTGTGTTTGAGGTTTGTTGAACTTCTCTGGATTTGTGAGTTGATAGCTTTCATCAAATTGGAACATTTTTGGCCATTATTTCTTCAAATTCTCCCCCTCTTTTTGGGGACTCCAAGTATACTTATATTTAGCTGCTTGAATTTGTATGCTGATACTCTTCTATTTAAACATTTTTCTTTTCTATATTTCATTTTGGATGGTTACTATTGCTATGTCTGCCACTTACCTTTTCTTCTGTAATATTTAATATGTATTAATACCATCTACTGTGTATTTCGTATTACACAATGTAGTATCCATTTCTAGAAGTTAAATGTGGGTATTTTTAGATATCTTCCATGTTGCTACTTAGGTTTTTAATACAGTTGTAATATTTTATTTGTAATGATAAATTAAAACTTCACTAAAACATAACACATATACGAAAGTGCACAAATCATAACTGTTTAGCTCAAGAATGTTCTCAAACTGGACAATATCCCAATTTTAGTGTCCTTGCTTAATTTTAACATTTTTATCAATTCTGTGTTGCTCTTTAGTGATTGATTTATCTCCTCTCACTGTGGGTCCTATTTTCTTGCTTCTTTGCATGGCTAATAATTTCTTTTTTGGATGTCAGACATGGTGAATTTCACCTTGGTGAGAGCTAGATAGCTATGGATTGCTATATCCCTGAATTTTGTTCTGAGATGTAGTTAGGACACTAGAATCAGTTTGATCTTTTTGGGTCTTGCTATTAAGATTTGTAGGTGGGACTGGAGCAGTGATTATTCTAAGCCTAACTGTTCTCCACTATGGCAGCAAGACCTTTCTGTGTACTCAGATCTTGAGTTTTCCAGCGTGGCTGGTGGGAACAGGCGCTATTTCTCTCTTAGAGTACTGACTGGTCTAACCTCTAATCCTTTCAGGTAGTACCTTCTCCAGTTTCATGTAGTATTCTCACACATGTACTGATCAGTAATCCGCTGAGTACTTAAAAAGGGAACTTTTGCAGGTCTCTGGAGTTTCCCTCTGTGCAGCTTTTTCATTTTCTTCAGTATTCTATCCTACACACTCTAGCTGCCTTGGTCTCAGCTCTACCTCCACAACTCAGGAATTCATCTGGTCTCCACTTGGGATTTCCCCCTCTGGGCCACATCCCGGACACTCTCTCAAGGCAATATGCTAGTCCAATCATAAGGACTTATCTCATTTGTTTTCCATTTTTCAGGAATCACTATCCTTCATTAGTTGGTGTGCAATGTCAAAGTTATTTCATATATTTTGTCTACTTTTTTGTTGTGTCAAGCAGGGGGAAGGAGGATAAACCTGGGCTCTGTTATTCCATCTTGTCTGGAAGAGTAAATCTCTTCACTTGGTTTAAAAATTAGTTACAGGATACTTGATTTTGAAATTCTGATTCTACTACTGAACTTATGAATAGCAGTTATTTTGCCTTCCATAATGACAATACAGTTGGAAGTTTATAGCTCCAGTCATAAAAAGATTTACTATTTTGAAAATGTTCAGAACAAATAGTCATATCTCAGCAGTCTCTGAAAAACATCTCTAATGTATGTCTTGAAGAAAGAAAGGGAGAGAATTTATGCATGAAGCCACTCGTGAAGCCACTTGTGATTTAAAATTATAGCTCCTGATGGGTACAGAAATTCTCTGCAGTGATAAGCTAAGAATAGCTACTTTAGCGTAGATATTTGTCCATCTTTAGAAAATAGAGATAACAGTAATGGTTTTAGCACTTTCTTGTTCCTCAGTGTTACTCATACAGATTTAATCTAAATAGTCATGATCCTTAAAATGATGCATAATTAAAGAAAATATTCATATGAAAGTTAAATTTTCATGCAGGGAGTTTTCAATAATAACAGCAAACATTTCTTTGGCATTCGCTATGTAAGAAGTATTATGCTAGGTGCTTTAAATATTTTTTCTCAAGGAAACATTGCAACATCCTATACAATGTGGTCCACTACTAATCCTGTTATACGAATGGGAAAACTAAGGATCAGAGACTAGAAAATGGTGAGGGAGAGATTCAAACTTAGGTTGAAAGTAAGATTCCATTCTTTTATTTAAGAAGCATTTAATACACCAGACACTTTTCTAGATGTTGGAAATATAGCAGTAGGGGGAAAAAAACCCTAACATAAAGAGTTTACAGTCTAATTCATATTTTCTTTATAACATTAAAAATGTAATTTGTAAAACTTTTTCTTGTGCCTGGAGTTATAACAAGCGTAAAAGGGCAAACATTGTGAATTTATGTTATTCAGGAAAAAAATAAATATTTTTTTTCTGACATAAATAAGGCATGTGGCTGCCCTATAGTCATCTACTTTCAAAAAATACCTTAAAACAAACTCCTGGCATCATATTAATATGATAAAAGTTTAAGCTGATAAGAAAGTCCTGCTTTCACAGAAACAAAGTGTTAGTTTTACAATGGCTGACTCACTGGAATGTTCTCAAAGGAAAGGATAATATCTATCATTTACAAAGGACCTTTAATGCACCAGGTTAAGTGTTAGTTTGATGCCTATTCTTATAACTGTCAAAGATAGAGGAAAAGTCTGTGTAAAGTTAAGCAGTCTCATCTAGTCAAAAATAAATAAGCTAGATTTAATAAAGTTTTGACTGACTCCAAAGCCTTTATTTCTTTCTACTAGTCCATAATGGCTGTACATTACAGTACATTTCAGAAAGGGATGCATTTGAAAAATAAACCAAACAAAACACAAAGCCCAAACAGTATACCTATAGGAATCTTTACAAGTTTCTACTAAGTCTCTACTAAAGTTTCTTGATCACAATGATTTTATTACAGAGTTGTTCTACATACTGCTTATTTAGGTGATACACAAGGAACAAAACAAAGAAAATAAAGACAAATATAGAAGTGGTCACATTAATATTGGTTAACTAAATGCTCACAAATTATGCTTAGTTTTGAATTTAAATAACCTCAACTGGTATACAGGAAATATATTTGCTATTTTAGGAATGCAAAGACAGTGCTTTTCCTTTGTAAATATACATGTAAAATATTCAAGTCTGAAAGCAAACAAAAGTATGCATACCTCTACGGCAGGTACAATGTCTATGCCAACAGTCAGAAATTCTTCAAACTTCAGAAATGGGTTAAAGCAGCTGCCAACATCAAGTAATCTGATCTTTCCTGAGGCTTGTAGCAACCTAAAAACAGACATTTTGCATTATAACAGGAAAACAGAAAATAATGTATTAAAGATTCAAATATTTGAGAATAAAAAAATAATGTTGATGATTAGTTATTTAACCTTTTGGTTTTGGGACCCCTTCATACATTTAAAAATTACTGAGGGCCCCAAAGAGCTTTCATTTATGTGAGTTATATCTATTAATAATGACCATATTTGAAGTTAAAATGGGAAACGTTATAAAAAAACTATCCATTTATGAAACAATAAACCTATTGTGTGTTAACATAAAAACATACTTTTTAAATTAAAAATACTAGACTTTAAAAAAAGGTACTGAAAAATGTGACCTTGTTTTATATTTTTTCAAGTCTCTTTAATGTCTGGCTTAACAGAACACCAATGAATTCTATCTGCTTTAGCATTCGAGCTGTGGCAACACCACATTCCATGTAGTCTCTGGAAAACTCCATTCTCCACTCTCATGAGTAAACAAATAAAACCTATAATGTAATATTATATATGCTACTAGATAGTTATTCTAGCCCCTACTTGGACTATGGCTAAGAATAAGAGTTCTGGAATCAGAAAAACTAAGATAAAAAACTGATTTTGTCCCTTAATATACAATATGGGGATAATACTGGCTCCCACACAAATTTTTTTTCCAGAATTAAATAAGATTTTTAATGTGTGTCCCAATGCCTGGTACATGGTTAGTGCACAAAAAGTGGTAGTTATTTTTGCTCACTATTATCATGTTTGTGGTTCATCTGCTAATGATCTTCCTGAGTATAGTAAAACCAGAATTTGTTGCACACTAAAATCTATAGCATAGATTCCAGTAAACTAAGTAGTCATACATTTCTTGATGATCTCAATAAAATATACTTCTTATGAACTGAATTTTCTCTCTGGATGAAATATTTAAAATCATTCATGTTGATTCATTAATATGGAACAATCAACAATAACTTAACCATATCATGTATTAGCATAGCAATTGATCATTTATCAGTAATATACTTAGTTCATTTAAATTCTTTGGTTCATCTCCTTAATTTTTTATTTGCATAAAATATAGATGTACAGTTGAAAGAATAACTACACAATAAATGTTCATGTAATTATCACCCAGGTCAAGAAGTAAAACAACACCTGTACCCTGGAAGCATGACCCTCCCTGATGACATCCCCCACACCTTTCCATAATGGCAGCAACTAACTTAATTTAGGGATAATCTCTCCTTTAGTTTTCTTTTATAGCCTTAATGACCTATGACCAAATGCCTAAATAATACAGCTTAGCTTTGTACTATATGTTTGCTTTTGTGACTTGCTTCTTTCATTATTAAATATTAATTATATTTGTGAGAGATCCTGTGCTTCTATAATTAACTTTCATTGCTGTAGAGTAGTACCCTTAAGTAACACACACCATTGGGATTTTGATTAGTGTGGCACTATGTCTAAAGATCTTTTGAGGAAAATTAACATCTTTACATGTTGAGTCTTCAAAGAGTTTTTATTATTTTCTCTAAAAAGGTCTCACACATCTTTTGTTGGACTTACATTCTTTGGTAGCTCATAGTTTTTGATGCTATTATCTTTTTTCCCATAGATAAGCTTTAGTGTTGTTTTTAAATTTTCATTTTTTATGTTGGTTATATGAATAAAATATAAGTCCCTCTTATCTATGGTTTTGCTTTCTGTGGTTTCAGTTATGATCTGAAAATATTCAACAGAAGACTTCAGCAACAAACCAATTACTATGTTTTAAATTGTATGATGATCTGATTGCATGATGAAATCTCATGCTCTCTCACCCAGGACATGAATCATTCTTTTGTTCAATGTATCATATCCATGCTGTATAAGCTAACCGCCCATTAGTCATCAATGTTGTCTGCTCCTGACACCCAACCACTGACACAGTCATGGCTTGATGATCTAGGATTACTGGAAGCAGATGACTGTCTTTCTGACAAATGGTCAGAAGGTAGTAGTAGCCTAATGCAATGCCACAATGTCTACATCATTCACCTCACTTCTTCTCATCATCTAGTCCTTGTATCACCTCACATCATCACAAGATGGGTGATTATAAGATATGTTGAGAGAAAGACTACATTCACATAATTTTATCATAGTATTTTGTTATAATTGTTATATTTTATTTTGCTGTTATTCTTTAACTGTGCCTAACATATATTAAACTTTACCAGAGGCATATACATACAGAGAAAAACACATGTAGGGTTCAGTAATATCTGCAATTTCAGGCATCCTCTGGGGGATATACATCCCCTGCGAAGGAGGGACTACTATGTATGTACAGGATCCAGCAACTCTATGAAACTGCTTGTCTGTATATTATTTTGAGTACTCTAATCTAGGCACATACGTACAAATCCTGTGAAAAATGATATCTGTATTTATTTGCATTTCTTTTCCTGTCTATTCACCCACCCACTCACCCATCCATCTATCTATCCATCCATTTTTTGCCCCTCACTGTTCTGCCCAGACTGCTAATACAATGGTAAAGATAAGTGGGCAAATGAGCACCACTAACCTAATCTCAGAGGAAAGGTTCCATTTCCACCATTAATTATAATAATTGTTGTAGGTTTTGTATACTACCCTTGGTAAAGCTGAAGAAGTTCCTTTTATGCTTTCCTGGGGCTTTTTTTTTTTTTTTAAGTTTTAACACAAATCCATATTGAATTTTATTAAATGACTTCTATACAGGTATGCATTCTGTATAGGTATGACTTTTCTTTAATCTATTTATGTGGTAGAGAACATCCATTAACTTAACAGTGTTAAATCAACCTGGAATTCTTGAGAACAATCTAATTTTGTTTTGATGTATTATCTTTTTCATAATTTGAAGGATTTATTTTATATATTCATGCATATATAAATAGCATTCTTGCTATTTGTGGTCATTATGTCCTATAAAGTTACTGTGAATACTGAATTAGTGAACACTGAACCATGGCTTAGCTGTCTGGCCACAGCACTTCCATTAACACATACCGTGGCTTTATCTGTGTTTCTGTTTAAAAGCAACATATGTTTATTTTAACATACATTGTTGAAGCATTAACACTGAACTCATAGCCAACAGCACTGCAACTCATGCCTGAAAGCAGCTTATATATAACACATGCATATTCTTTGTAAGGCACAATAGAGCCTTCTTGTGCTTAGGAATACTAGACTTTAACACCATGCATAAAAGCCATTTTAAAAGCAAAATGGACAAAAAGCACAAACCAATAATGCAATACCAAATAGACTGTGAAAATGACATCTGCTTGTGTCTGAGAGCTGAAACAAGATAGTGTTCACCTTTTTTGACCTCAGCTGGGAAGGTGTTTGTAGAGTAACTCAAATTTTTTGCTATACTATGCATATCCACAAATGACTGTTTCTGAAAATGCCATAAGTATTGTTTTTGAGGTTACATATAAATTGTAGTAAGTGAATTCTCAGATATGGAATCAGTGAATGAAAATTGACTCTGTGTGTGTGTGTATGCGTGTGTGTGTGTGTGTGTGTGTGTGCGCGCAGGATTTTTGCATTCATGTTCACGAGTGGGCAAGTTTGTTAATCATGTTGTTCAAATATTCTATAGTCTTACCCACTTTTTGAACATTGTTTCGTCAATCACTGGGAAAGTTTTGTCAAAAATCTTTAAACATTTAAAAAACAAACAAAGAATAATCTCTGCAAACTGATTTGAAGAGATTTTGTTATTTTCATATATACTTATTTTTGCAAAAAGAAAGCTGGGAAGGATAAATCAGAACTAATAATACCTCAGAAGATTGAGTAACAAGATGGCTGCTTTAAGGAAGGGATGGGAAGCCTGAGTACACCTATCATTGTAGTTTTGACTTTTGAAAGTTATTAATGTTTTACATATTCAAAAAATAAAATCACTAGGAAGGAGAAATACAAACGCAATAAAAAGAGAAACTAATGAACCGAACTATGTATCAAATAACGCAGAAGGAAAAACAATAATTCAGTAACTTCTCAGTATAGTATTCTATAATAATCTTAATGGGTAACATTCTAAGGATAATAAAAGAACAGCAAAGAAGTCTTGAATTTTACTTAATACGTTTTTTATTGTAGTGGTACTGGTATAACCATTTTATTTTGTGTGTATTGAAGGGCTGAGCAAATTGCAAATAATCTAAGGTTACAGAAAGATAAATATTCAGAATGAGGAAAAAGAGTGATAGACCCTATAGTGGTTGATTGGAATGAAAGGTTTCAGATAAAAAGGTAAAGAAGCTATAATACCCCAGTAGCAGGGAATATCTAACAACTAATATCCAGAATTTGGTTTCTAAATACCATTCTCTCGCTAGAAGGAACCTTTACTTCTCACAGGAACGGCTTATTCCAGAGTTGAAGTAGAGAAAGTATAAGGTGAGCCAGGATGACCTTAATGTAACAAGAAAGTAAAGTAATCCTCAAACATTAATGGAGAAATATGGAAAGGTAAAGGGAGCTAGCTTACAGGAACTTCCATTAGCTTAATTTGTGATGATTTCACCATCATAATAATAGTGATAAGAATGAACTGTATCACACTGGGTTAAAAAAATTGAGTCCACAGATACTTTAAATATTAAAAAGAAAGGTTAAACAGGAAAGCTCCTTTCTACAGAAGAATGCCAACTGTTATAGATAGCAATTTTTTTAAAAAATCACTGTTTTGCAACCACTACAATAAAAATAACTTAATTTAGGCAAGACCATTAACGGATGGTAAAGCCACTAGTGAAAACAGAAACTTCACTTGGCCTTCATGTATAAATACACAGATTACAGATTAAAGGTACTTTTATAATGAGAAATTTGGTGGACACCCCCTTACTCAAAAGATCAAACTTAACATCACTGATAATGGGACAAACTGACACATGGCCCTTAGTGACACACCAAAAACATAGTATCACCTATGTAGTATGCTTACCAGAAATGTTTAACATG